TTCGAGGACTTGACGCAGAGTGAACATTTGGTCGATGCATCCGTGACCTGGTCGGAATCCAGCTTGTTTTTCGTGTATATTCCTCTCTCCTGAGGGTCAGTCGACGAAGTATCACCGGAGTCAACACTTTCATGATTATGGGAACTACACTAATCCCATGGTGGTTAGCGTAATCGTTGCGTGATCCCTTCTTGAAGATCGGGAAGATCAACAATTCACAAAGGCATACGCTTCTCCGTCCAAATGCTGCAAAGTAAGCTAGTAATTGAGTCATCAAGAGAATCACCACCCACCTGGAAAAGAATAGGGACAAGCCCATCAGGTCGCGTAGCCTTTCCTTTCTCTAATGATAGATTGCAACTTCGTACTTCCGATTCTGATGGGGCTCGCATGTTACCACCCATGGAGTTTCCGCCGCTATCGCTGGAATGACCACATTAGCACTAGGCCAATTCAACTGTTCACAAAAATACTCTGCCCAGCGATCAGGTCGTTGTTCTTTATTATGGATGCTTTGTCCACTTTTAGCGCAAATGACCTCACTGACCGGTATGCGACGAACTCAGGTGCTGCGTATCGGGTGAAACAATCTTTGACTATTCTCTGATGCAGAAGCTACCTCCATTTCACTAGCTATTTCGGCCCACCAATTTTCACGATCTTTCTTAAGGCTATTCCTGAGATGACGTTCCAGGCGACACCGGTCTTTATGCGGATCCTGGCAGATTGTGATCTTTCGCTTTTGATCCATTAAGATTACTGACTCCTGAGAGATCTAATGCTTTCGGTGAACTTCAGGCTCAATCCCACAAGCAAAGTTTGCTGCTGAGTACATTGCAAATCCAATCTCATTTCACTGCTGGTCTACTCCACTATGTCACAGTGCTCCTAGCTCCTGTTTCAGCTTCTCCTCGTAACGTGCGCAGACAGCTGGATCGCGCAGATGATGATGAACTAACTGAGGAGACGATTTATGCCGATGACCAATGAGTCGAAGAGCGAACCGCAGCAGAACTAGTGCATGATCTAACTCAACGCAGGTGGACCAATGGGATCTGAGCCACACCAACGGTAACTTACAGCCATGTGGTCAATTTTCCCGTTGAACTAAAAGAGTTAAGTGACGGTTTGGTTACATAGTAATCCTTAATTCCAGTAAACAAGCATGGTAATAAGTAAGACGCGTTAATCGCTGAAGAAATTGGGGGCAAGGTAGTGAGTGACAAATTAATTTCGGCATGATATTTTACTTCCTTCAGAATACGAACGAAAATCTACTCCCTGGTGGCGACGGACGTTTTTCTTTTCTTTTTCATTTTATTTCCTTTGATTGACTATACAAAGATACAATTTTCAGGAGGGGGAAGCGGCCAATCAACGGGCTGCCATACAATACACAAATGGAGAAAGTCAGGCGGTGGTGGTGGGATTCGAACACTTGTCCTCTGGGGGTGATAACTGGTGACGTTACCACCAGGCCACGACTGCCTGGACTACCGCAAGTCTATGGCCAGCTGGGCTGAATGCTACTGAGGGCGCCACCAGATGGAGAGTGGACATAGGTAACCCTGAACGGATGAGCACCAGCTTGCCGATTAAACGTTCGCAGACGATTAGCGGTGGTACTCGCGAAAGTGGGTCTTCGTCTGGCTAGTGATCTCCTCAAATGTCTCACATACGTCTGAAGGCGGCTTTATGTCGTGTGCGAATGAGGCCCACCAATAAATAAGACTAACGTTCCTTGTTTCGTGTACTGGGAGAGTAGACAGTTTTTTCGGCTTATTTGCAGGAAAAACTTGGGTGTACAAAATCAAGAAGCATTCCTTGAGCAAAAGACAAGCGAAACTATGGACGCCGCTTCGTAAAATATTACTGAATACCTTCATAGAAAACTAATTATTAAATCCGGACCTCATCCACCCTATGGCTTCCCAGGGAGAAGACGCACCTAGTGCTCCTCCAGTGGGAGAGGAAAAAATGAACTAGCTCGGAAAGTTCAGGACAAAGCACACGATTTTCATAAGCTGTGGGGATGTCCGCATCCTGTTGAACCCATGAAAACAGTGAACCGCTGCACGAACCATGAATGTCTGCCAGGTAACTATTGCTTGTCTGTCAGAAGGTTGCATACCAGATAACAATGGGAAGCGCATCTCACTATGCAAGGCTGCACGGAGCAGCGTTCGGTATCAACTCCAGGATCAATAGAGCTGTGATTCGCATATTTCTTAGAATCGCCCATAGTTTTCTAGACAACCTATTCAACATTTCAGTTATTTCAGTACCACTCCCCACAACTTGTACTGTAGTCTGATTTGGGAAAGCTTTCTATAGATAATTGATGGAATTAGTGGATCAAATGTCCAGATGTGATGTGATGTTCGTTGTGTGAAAAGTCAAAAAGTATCAATTTCGATTCTGTCACTTCCCTTCTATTATATGTGTGATATTTCCTTTTAGGTCCGAGCTTTGAAATTTCCGCATAATTATTTTAAATAACCAAGCGGATCAACCTAAAGTTCATGAGGTTCTCTGGATTGGTCATCACAGTGGTGAGTTGCCATATCAAAACGAGGTGCTACGGCCTTTCCATAATCACTTTCAAGAATACACAGCATGGGAGTGATCTGACTCGTGCCAACTGGTTGTCGATGAATTGAAGTACAACCGCCATTCACTGTCACACGAAACTCAGATTCAGCTGGCACTGGAATACCGCAGCTTCTTGTATGCCTCACTCTCCATCCCTACTCGACCGTATTCAGTGCTTAAGGCAGTCCAATCAATTAACAGACTTTGTGTGACATTCAACTTACACACCGTAGCCCATCGCTANCCCCCCCCCCCCCCCCTATAATTCCGTTTCTGTTCCTCACAAATCGCCTAATCTGTTCAAGGCCCTCATATACGTACCTATTAATAAATGTCTAAGCTAGCAGCAGGAGCAGTAAATCTGGATTTAAATCCTCTTTCTCCCAGAACAGACAACATGCACATCCTCAACCTTTCTGTTTTCCTTTACACACATATCGTCCAGGTCTTTAAGGACAGAATCAAACAGCTGGACTTATCGAGAATCTTTACTCCCTTTACTTTACTTACCCAT